TCTCTCTCTCTCTCTCTCTCTCTCTCTCTCTCTCTCTCTCTCTCTCTCCAGCTCTCCTTTTTCCTGGAGAATATAGACTACAACCCAGGTTGATGTGTTTCAAACTCCGGGGCTCCCCCTGGTGGTAAGATAATTTGGGGTGACGGTGTTTGAGCAGATGTGATAAATAGAAAGGCATGGGTATTTTTCTGTGAGCATCTACTCTGACTGTACAGGGAATGCTTTTGCACTGGGAAGGTCTATTGTCTTTTTTTCCCTCTTTTGATAGGAAGCTACAGAGATAGCCAGGTTTCCACAGGTAGCTGTGATCCCAGCATTCAGGAAGTAGAAACAAGGGGATGGCAAGTTTGAGGCTAGCCTAGCTACAAAACAAGATCCTGTCTCCACAATCTGGATGTGGCTCAGTGGTAGATCACTTGTCTAGGGTGTGCACGACCCTGGATCCCATTGCTCTGGGGTCTGCTTAAATCCAACACCACTCAAACACCAGGTCTATGAGGATGACAACAATTGACTTTAGTCAAGCACTAATCAGGGCCTCAGAACAGACTCGGGAGCTGAACTGTGACCCTGGAGGGACACTGTACAGCATATTTAGAGAATGAAACCATGAAGCAAAGGGGAGCAGGGTGGGCTGTAGCTCTGTGCTACATTTTAACATTGGGGGTTGATCAAGGGAGTTTCCATCAATCAGGACAGGAGTAGGTCCCTGGGTCTGGGAACATGAACTTGTTTGATCCTTCTATCAAGATGGAGAAGTTGTCCTTGAGAAGTCTGCACTCAGACAACTGTCTCCTTACAACAGATGCTGTCCAGCTATTGGGAAGTCCTCAGTTTCCCTAGGGCCTGAGTCCTTACACTTAGTTTCCCCCTATGATTAAATGGAGTTTGAAAACGAAATGGTAGTACTTAGAATAACTTTTGTTTGCTCATTCCCAACATCATCCCTGGCATCAAGGGAAAAAAAAGTACAATGAAGAATGTGCTGTTCTTCCTCAGTAGTAAGGACCTCATCTAGATGAAAGTCCACAGAAAAGAGGTTTTAGAGTCTACCTCCATCGGCTTTTCCTCCAGTTAAGGGTGACCCCATGAGATACAGGCAGAAGTGCTGTGAGCCACTCAGAGAGTGTCCTTCACTCAAGGGATTCTTCCTAAGACCTCCCACTTCCTGTTCTCTGACCCCTGGACACATTGACAGAACTTCAGCTGCCATCTTGGTTCAGGAGGCGGGAGACAGGAGCATCACAGAGTAACAATGTAACTGTGTAACGTAGTAACTCAGGAGCCTGGGAAGTTGTCAAGTTCACCTAAGAGTTCCCGCCGCTTTACAGAGAGAGGCAATACTGTTTGCTCTTTATTCTTTCCAGGCAAGGTTCACCCGTGCTTTTTTTTTTTTTTTTTTTTTGAGTGATTTTTAAGATTTTTTTATTTCCAATAATTTGTTTGTGTGGGTGTTGGGGTGTGTGCGCAGGTGCCCATGTAGTGAGGAGGAGGGCATTAGAGCTCCTGGTGCCAGGGTACAGTTGTAAGGAGGTTCTGGGAACCAAACCTCTGGAGTCCTCTGCAAGAGCAGTACTCTCTCTTCACTGCTGAGCTATCTTTCCAGCGCACGCACACGCGCGCATACACACACACACACACACACACACACACACACCCTTGAAGGTTTGTTTGTTTGTTTGTTAATGTGTATTTATGTGCACTTTATGCATGCAGAAGCCCACAGGGGGCAGAAGAGGGTATCTCGTCTCCTGGAACTGCAGTTGCAGGCAATTGTGGTCTGCCATGTTGGTTCTGGGAACCAAATCTGGGCCCTATGGAAGAGCAGCAAGTGCTCTTAATTGCAGAGCCGTCTTTCCAGCCCTGTGACATTTAACATGTCAACTTAATGTTGTGGGCATGCCTAGCAGTGTATCTCTGAGGGTGTGTCCAGGTCGTTAGATCATGACAGCTCCGATGTAAACAATGGGCTTATCTTATTATAGGAAGGTAGTAAAAAGCAACAGGTAAGTCCCAGCTGGGGCACCACGGGTCTGGGTGCTGGCTACTTTTGTCAGTTTGACACAAATCAAGACATATTTGGAAAGAGGAACCTCCATTAAGAAAATGCCTCTGTCAGGTTGCCTTTAAGCAAATCTGTAGGACATGTTTTTAAACTAGTAATTGATATGGGAAGTCCCAGCTCACTGTGGGTGATACCACTTCTGGGTAAAAGGTCTTGGGCTGTATAAGAAAGCAGGCCAAGTAAGCCATGAGAAGCAAGCTAGCCAGAAGCATTTCTTCATGGTCTCTGCTTCAGTTCCTGCCTCCAAGTTTCTGCCCTGACTTCCCTCCGTGTTGTTGCTGGTATTGTGGATTGTTGTCGGCTGTGTCTCTCGTGTGTATGGCTATGGCTTCATGAAGTTTTGCTTGAGTGGGCTAGTACAGGTCTTTAAAAATGGTCTGATGAAGAACATGAGGGAGTGTGACATGGGGAATTACGCTGTGGAGAGAAAAAGCGTAGCCAGAAACAGAGACGACACAATCAAAAGATTGCTCACAGTCCTGAACATGAAAACTAGATAAAATGGGAAGGAGACATACAATCTTTCACCCTCAAGATGGTTCAGCAGGTAAAAATGCTTGCCACCAAGCCTGATGACCCGAGTTTAATACCTAGAACCCGTCTATTCCTGGATATCCTCTAACCAATACACACATCATGACACACACACACTCTCTTTAAACAAACAAACAAACACACACAAATAAATGATATGTTTAAAAACATAAAGGCATGCAGAAGGCCCTCTCTCTCTCTTTCTCTCTCTCTCTCTCCCTCCCTCTCTCTCTCTCATACACACACACACAAATGCTCTGTGTGGTTGAGACTATAGCTCAGTGGTGGAGCATTTGCCTAGCATGAGCATCCAAGGTCCTGTACTGGAAAAAAAAAATTTAAACAGCCAACACATGTATGATGCTCTTGCCTTTGTAACTGCTTTTCTGTGTTTTCCAGTTTCTGAAAACTAGTAAGAAGCTGCTGTTGTTTGTATCACAAGCAGAAAAAATATCAAGAGCTACAGCAGTAAGTGAATGCTGAAGGACAACATAGAGCCATAAAGATAAGAGGTGCTGCTGTAGGCCCACCTCACTGGCAGGCAAGCCCATCCTAGGAGGAGCCACCTTGGAGTGGGGAGGCCAGGCCTGGGATGTTGCACTGGAACCTGCTTGAACTCTGGAGGATCCAAGAAGCTCGTGGACATTTCCAGGCCTAGCTGTACCCCTGGAGGCAGCTCACCCTCATAGGTAAGAGAAGAATCTGCTTTCTGAGGCTGAAGTGAGAGCAGCCAAGCGCTTAGCTAGGAAGGGGCAGGAAGACCTCTTGAGGCATAAACCAGAAGCCCTATGATGCAGGAAGAGAACTGGAGATAGGACCCTCACCAGAACTGGTGATCACACACATCTGGGTATATCTCACCCACAGAGCCACAGGTAGATGAGACACCCTGACTCAGACATAAGCATACACACAGCCACAGCAGGAGCCACAGGTGGGTGGAGCTTTCAGGTATATCTATCTGTGACATGGACTGGTGAACTTGGACCCTACCTCCCTGCAGAGACTCCTTGTTCCCCGGGGTTCGCTCACCTTCTGGATTCCAGTCTGTGTCCCTTTCTAATCCCCTCTTTCTCCAGGATCCTTTACACCCCCTGAGAGGCACAGCTACTGTGATTTGCTAGGAGACACAGATACCAGTCTTGAATATGTCAGTGTTCACCCCGAAGTATGGGATGGACTCTTAGGCACCTTCCTCTCCCCCGCAGCCAAACTTAGGGCATTTCAGAGTAAGGGGTCTAAGGTGGTAGCAGCTCCTTCCCCATCCACTCTCACTTCAGCGCATTCAGATCTGCAATCAAAATTGTGTCAGTCTCAGAAAGACTTCCCTGCATTTATCCCCGAGATGGTCAGGAGAGCTAAATGCCCAGGGCTTAATGGCACAGCCATGCCCTGTCTGCCTAGAGCTCACAGGTCTGCCCTCAAACCAAAAATCTACATGGTCAAGGCTTGGGCAAGGGGATGCTAGGAAGCCCAGCAGGGTCACTTGGCCCAGGCTGGTCAGGAGACATCGGTGCTAAGGAGAAAGGAGAAGTGAGTACAAAGGGACGTTGCAGATGGTGAGAGTGGGCAGAGATCTGTGTGTCAGGAATGGGGAAAAGCACAGAAGGTTATTTAACAGAGGAGAGAAGGGTCACATCTTGGGTTTTATTACAGTCCACAAGGCTGTCACGTGAAGGATGGATTGGAGGGTGAGTGGATGAGCTGAGAAAGGACAAGGAAAGAATATATAAGGACCAAGGAGGAAAGTCTTAAAGATTTATTTTATTTTATGTATATATGTGTTCACAAGTGTATGTGTGTTTGCCACATGTATGCAGGTATCCGTGGAGGCCAGAAAAAGGCATCAGAGACCCTGGAGCTGGAATTACAGTCATTCTAAGCCACCCATTATCACTGCTGGGAGCCAAAACCAGGTTCTCTGTAAGAGCACCAAGTGCTCCTAACCACTGAGCCAACTCTAGACCCAGATGAACTGAGAACTCTTAACTCATAGTATTAGTTCCTTGGGAGTCACTGTGACAATTTCTGACAGGAACAGAGGAGGGAAGATTTATTGGCTCATGTCTCAGTCCAGCGCACGGGGGGGGGGGGGGGGGGGGTTTAGGGGCTCTTGCCGCGGGCCGGGGGGGGGGGGGGGGGGGGAGCCGTTGTCAAACAGTTCAGCTCATGGCAGCAGCGGCACGGTGTGGTGGAGGCTGTTTACACCATAGTGTACACCAGCAGCACAGAGCAGGGCTGGAGCCAGGGGCTGGGAATGAGCTCTTACCCTTAGGAACTACTTCCACCACCTAGACCTCATCCCCAAAGGCCACAGCCTCCCAGAATAGTGCCACCACCTGGGACCAAGTGTTCAAAATCTGAGCCTATGGGAGACATTGCAGATTCAAATTCTGACTATTACAGAATTGAAAAAATAATAACCTTGGTCTCTCTCTCTCTCTCCCCTTTCTTCCTCTCCCTTCCCCTCCCTATTCCCCTTCCCCTTTCTCCTTCCTCCTCTTCCTCTTCCTTCCCTCTCTCTGTTTTCCTCAGCCAGTTTGCTGACTTGTGGGATCTGCCAGGGGTCTGCCTAGATCTTCATCAGCCCAGACTCACTCACAGGAGCTGAGTAGTACCAACCATTCTGATCCTAGAAAATGTCCCGGAAAAAGTCCTGGCGTTCAGCTGGTACCGGGCATGGACAACAGTACAGGAAACATGATTTTCAGCTATAAACCCCTTCATACTTGACACCCCCCGACCCTTGTACAGTGGTCGTGAGAACGTGACTGGAATGATTAGCCTGGCGACAAGGAGGTCGGTGTTAAATGACACAGGATGCTAGACTGCTGAGGTGGACACTAGCAACAGGACCCAAAGAGCAACTGGCTGGCTCGAGATTCTAAGCGAGTTGGCAAGGTAGCCACTTTCTCCAACAGTAAACGTGGAGCTTTTCCTAAGGGTTCTGAGAGTGAGGTCCTGGGAGGGGATATTGCCCAGCGTCTCCATTGCCTGAAAGTGACACTGGAGCCCAGGAAGGTGTTTCTCTAGCTTTTTCTCAGAGTGCATCACTCGGCGCTTCCAAGCACTCGTCAGTGGCGGAAGAGAGTATTTATTTTTCTGCTGTTGTGTAACATCCACACTTTAGAGCAGCGGTTCTCAACCTCCCTGCTATTGCAAACTGTTAATACAGTTGCTCATTTTGTGGTGATCCCAACCATAAAATCATTTCATTGCTACTTCATAACTGTAATTTTGCTATGGTTATGAATCATAATGTAAATGTTTGATATGCAGGATATCTGATATGTGACCCCTTCCCTCCCGCCAGAAGAGTCCTGACCCACAGGTTGAGAACCACTGTTTAGAGGCTTAAAAAAAAAAAAAACAACCCAATTACTTAATTTTATTTATTTATTTTTTAGTACTGAGGATTGAACCTAGAGCTTTCTATATGCTAGGCAAGCACTCTACCACTGAGCTACACCCTGGCCCCTCACTGGGGGATTCTAGGCAGCGGCTGTGCCACTGAGCTGTATCCCTAGCTGGGACTTAGTATGCTGTTCGAGTTGGCATAGAACTTTCAATTCTCCTGCCTCTGCCTCCTGAGAGCTGGGACCACAGCTTGACTTCTGTGGGCTGGAAGTTTAGGCATTGTCCTAGCTGAGTCCCCTGCCTCTCACAAGGGGCAGGTAGAGACTGTTCTCATGTGGAGACATACCAAGGGAAGACTCTCCTCCTAGTCTTCTCCTGGCTTGAGAAAGAAGTTACCTCCTGGTGTCTGTATGACCACAGACCTAGCTATCACTGTATTGTATTTTTGTTGCCGTGTCTGTAGGACCAGGTATTTTGTAGCTCACTATGGCAATCTCTTCCATGATAGTGATGGTCACTCCAGGCCCAGAGAAAGTAGCATGGCTGCCTTGGAGATCCATCAGCTGCAAACGGCTCCCGCTGGTGCCCTAGTACCCGGGGGAAAATGTGGTTTTCTGAAGACGGGAAGTCCCCTGCTTGTTCCTGAGACTGTGCATTGTGACCTTGAGCCAGATCTTTTCTCAGTGAGGAACTGTGTTCCCCAGCTGGTCCATCTGTAGAAAGGGGAAATATCTGCCATTGGTTTTCTGTGCGTTTGGAGAGAATTTGGTAAATCAAATGAAACTCAGAGAGGGGATCTAATTATTATGAGTAGCCCCAAAGCCACCTGTTCCAGCTCCTCAGATGAGGGTGCTGGGCACCCCCAAACAGCTATTGGGGAGCGAAATTGGAGAGATGGCTCAGTAAGTAAAGCACTTGCCAAGAAAGCATGAAGTTTGAATGCTGGGCGTGGTGATGGACACCTGCAATCCCGCACTCCCCCTGAGTCCAGGGACGCTCATGGGCTGGCCAGCCTGGGGACACAGAGGTGAGCAAATGGCCCTGCCTCAAGCAAGGTGGAAGGTGAGGACTGATCCTCCAGGTTGTCCTCAGCTTTCCACACACGCCCAGCAGCATGCGTGTGTCAGGGCCCTCACCCAAAAACACACGTCCCATATACAGCACACAGGCACACAGAGGAAAAAAGAACAGCGATTAGGCCATCTATTCATGAGCAAGAACTTCCTGTCACTGCAGCTGAGGCACGGAATGGCTCAGGCCCTGCCCAGGGCTGCGCAGCCTGCTCCCCACCCCTCCCTCTTCTGCCCCTCTCAGTTCTGGGGCTTCTCTTTTGCCTTATCGTAGAGCTCTTGATATCTCTCTAACGGACCACATCTTCAACATGCCCCAAAGCTTGAAGAAGCATCTCAGAGAACATGATGCTCCCCAGTCTGTCCTGGGAGCAAATGGGCAGTTACCAGTGTACTGTGCTGGACATGGAGGCCCAGCTGGCCTTCTCCAAGGAAGTCGCCATCAGCCACCAAGCTCTCCAAACTTTCCCTCCCATACGTTTTTGTCTAGGCAGTGCCTGTGTCAGGAGGCCCCTCTTTAGCTTCACCCCACTTACAACTTCTGACATAAAGGACTGACATCGGCACAGGACAACCTAGATCCAAGTCCTCAGCACAAAGGAGATTTATTTGCCTCAAAGGGACAAAAAGCTGGGGAATAAGAGACATCGATAAAACGGGCATGGTGGTGCATGCCTGTACTCCCAGCACTCAGGGAGGCAGAGGCAGACAGATCTCTATGAGTTCAAAGCCAACCTGGTCTACAAATTGAGTCCAGGACAGCTAAGGCTACACAAAGTCCTGTCGAAGAAGAAGAAGAAGAAGAAGAAGAAGAAGAAGAAGAAGAAGAAGAAGAGAAAAAGAGAGAGAAACAAAGTCAGTAGACAGAAGATGAGGAAGAAGGGAAAAGAAACAAGGGGGGGGGTAAAGGGATATTTTTCCCTGAGGGGGACAAAGGACTGCCTCTTGGTAGAGGGGAGACAGATGTGGCCCATAGGCAAATAGCAGTTCATAAAGGAAAAAGAAGGAATACTGTGTTAGGATGAGGTGTTTAATTTTAATTGAGCGTGTTAGCTAGGTGAACCAAAGGTACTTTTGATTGCTGGACTTCAATACTTTGATATCTGGACCTGGGTAGTCAGCCTCAGGAAGAGAAAGTGTTCAAGGGAATAGACCCTGGCAGCTAGCTTTAGGAATGTAATCTAACAGTTTAACAAGGCAGACAGAATGGAGAAAGAGCAAGGCCTACCTGAGCCCTGTTCACCCTACTCAGGCCTGCTAGAGCCCTTCAGTGACACCCTCCTCATCCTCTAAGGACCCGTCACTCTATCTATCATCCATAGACCCCTGTCATGGAGTCATAGCAAATTCCACCAGAGACAAGACTGGCCAGCATTTACTTTCTATGTGCCAGCCACAGTCTTCTGGCACAGAGAGTGATTCAATACCATCACCTCTGTCGAGCAGGTGAAGAAACCCAGCCCTGGGGAGTTGAGTACATGACCCAAGACTCCACAGCTGATGGGAAAGTGGAGAGATTCCTTTACAAGGGACTCTGACCCCACAGCCTGTGCCCTCGCTGTGTGTTTACATGGTACCTCCCAGAGGAGAAAGTGGGAAGATGGGTGAAAGTCCAGACACCGCAAGAATAGATGTTTCCTGTGGTTTTAAAATCAGGAACTTGGAGCAACTTTGCCAATGAGGAAAGCACCCCTTTCTCCCTAGCAGCCACACAGCCGTTTGCCACAAGAAGAGAAATTGGCATGATCAGGGAGAGCCAAGGAAAAGGCAGTAAGCAGTGAGGACTCAGGCTGAGGGCGTGGCTCAGTAAAGTGCTTGCTGAGCAAGCCAGGAATTAGCAATCCTCATGTCCTATGCTTCAGTTCCTGCCTCCAGGTTTCTGCTTGAGATCCTCTCCTACCTTCCCTTCATGGTAGACTATAAGATAAAATAAACCCTTTCCTCTCCATATTGCTTTGGTCATGGCCTTCCATCACAGCAATGGAAACTCTTGCAAAGACAGTGAAGAGATGAGTTGGTAGTGGTGATGGCTGGTGATAATGCAGACAACGGTGATAGTGTCAGTCAGCTTTCTGCTACTGTATCAGAATACCTGAGTCAATTAACATAAAAACGAAGATATATCTTGTATCACAGTCTCAGAACTTTCAGTTCATGATCAGTTGTTTGCGTTGCTACTGGACCTGTGTCAAAGCAAGACATTTTGGCTCCTCACCTTGTGATGAACAGATAGCAAGGAGGGGGGAAAGGGCCGAGCTTCCAATTCTCCCTTCAATGGTACCCCCTCCAACAATCTATCCTATTTTCACTAGGTCCTACATTTTAAGGGTTTCACAAATCTCAGTCCTTTAGGGACTAAACTTTTAATACATAGTCCTATAGGGAACATTCTAGATCCAATACACAGCAGGGATTGCGGTGCTAAAGGTGTGACTACTAAAGACGGTGGTGGTGGTGGTGACATTGATGTGCTGGCAGTACTCTAAGAAAGCTGGCTGGGTGAAAGCCGGTCTGTGGAGCCAGGGGGCGGCACCCTCCATGATCTCTGCTGTGCTTCTTGGCTTGTAAGTTTCTCAGTTGGATGTCGTGCCGTGTGGCATGGCAAGCAGGCCTGCCTTCAGGCTCCTGCCCTGATTTCCTTCAGCCGTGAACTGTGGCCTGGCACTGTTAAGTGAAACAAGCCCTCTCTGCTCCTACATTGTTTTGGTCTGGGTGTTTTATCATGGCAGGAGAAGTGAACCTAGAACAGGTGGGTTACGAAAATCATTTTTCTGACATTAAAATAAATTAATATTAAAAAGTATGGGTGGGAGTGTTAGGAACTCTGGGCATGGGCGTTCCTCTCTTCCACAAGCGTGTGTGTATGGAAGGAACTGGGCCCCTTTTTCTATTTTTTTTCCAAGGACTTTAAGATCACACGATGTGATTTCTTTCCACAGGAGAAACCAGGCATAAGTGTCCATGACAGACCTAGAGGACAACCCAACCAGGCAAGGAGGTGAGGGAGGGAGACAAGAGAGCATGAGTCTCCTAAGGGGACCAGCTGAACTGGGCCAGCACAAAGTGTGTCTAGAACATTCTGGGGAGGCAACCATCTCAGTCTCCGTGGACTGAAGAAATCTAGGCTTCCAGATGGATTGGAAGATTCTCTGTGGGGCCTGGACAAGGGATGACATCACAGGCAGCCTGGCCCTCAGCAGCACCAATCAGAGCTGGCTAAGCTGGGGCGCAGTCATGGGGGAGCTCCAGGCTCTAATCCAGACCCCTCCTCCTCCCAGTGTTTACAACTCCGTATCCTTTTTCAGATGCTAGGCCATCTTGAAAGACTCTTTGAAGATGCTCAGATTGGTTTTGCCAATGACAGAGAAATTAAGCAATTTTAAGTTCAGACAATTGGTGCCACCTACTCCAACAAGGCCACATACACAGTCATGCTACCCCCTGTGAGTCTATGGAGGCCATTGTCACTCAAATCACCAAAAACCAACCAAACCAAAAAGTATAATCAACAGTGATGGGTATGATAGGTACAGCACAAATATAAACTCAGTGCAGCTTTATGTTCACGTGCAGGTGAAAAAATTGCAAAAATGTTAAGTATTATATGTGTTTCCTCTCATGGTAGTTTTTCTTTATGCTTTGGGTTCTAAAGTGCTTTTCCCTCACAAAGTACAGGCACTTTTTAAAAAAATCAGGAGCAGGAAACCAAGTTAGGACACTCTTGATAGCTCCTCAGCATCCGCAGAGCCTCTGTTGGCAGTTTTCCCTGAGCTGCGCTCATCAGCACATCTCATATAACAAAGCAGAGCCGAGCAGCACCTCTGTCAGACTGTCTGTCTGTCTGTCATCTCTCTCTTTCTATCTTGTATAATCTATCTTCTGTCATCCACCATCTACCTTTCTCTCATTATCTATCATCTCTCTATTTTCTATTCTCTATCTACCTATCTTCTACCTATCATCTGTCTACATATCATTTACTAACCCTTTTCTGTCTGTCCTGTATCTAAAATCTGTCTGTCTGTCTATCACCCATTCATCTAGTTCTGGTTTGAATGTACATTGTCCCCACAGGCCAATATACTTGGACACTTGGTGGCAATATTTTCTAAAGCCATGGAACCTTTCGGGCATGTGGCCCAACTCGTAGAAGCAGATGTCTGGGGCTGGGCTGGAAGATGATCAGTACTTCTGGTGCTGGCCTGAGCTCACTGCTTCCTGGTCCCTCAAGTTGTGGAGCCTACACTCCATGTCTTGAGCCTCTACCCATCGTCTTGAGTATCATGTTGCCTTCCTCACCACAATAGCCTGAAACCGTGGACAAGAATAAACCTTTCCATCCTTCACATTTCTGCCATGTTTTGTCAACAAAGACAAGAAAAGTAACTAAAACATACAACATGAAACTAGTGAGGGGATTGTTTGGGTAGAGAAAGGGGACTAGCAACTAATAGGAGGTGGGCAGGAGAAGGTAGAAGGAATGAAAATGGCCAAAGTATGTGACGCACTTGGAAGAAACTATAGCAGAACCATCACTGTGTAAATAATATATGACATTAAAAGTAAAGTTAAATCTAAAGATCAATCTCAAGGCCGGAGAGACGGCTCAATGGTTAAGAACACTGGCTACTCTTCCAGAGGACGAGGTTCAATTCTTAGCACCCATGTAGCAGCTCACAACTCTCTGAAACTCCTGTTCCAGAGGCTCTGATGACCTTTCCTGGCCTCTGCAGGCACCAGGCATGTAACTGGCACACAGATAGATATACATGCAGGCAAAACATCTACACACATACAATTAAGAAAAAGTCAAGTTTATGTCTTCCAGGGCACGGCAGTGGTTTCCAGAGTCTGGGGCTTGGGTGGACAGGGAGTACGGGCTGTGAGCAGTAGCAGAAAGCCTGTGTCGCGAGAGGAATGGCTTCGAATTCCTGCGCAGCACATGCCACCCTAGGGGACTCTTCTCCAGGCTCTGGTGTCTCTTTCATCCTGTGGCAGCTGTGCTTCCTCCAGCCGTGGTCATGGCCGTGCAGTCATCTGTGGCACTTTATCTCTGAGTACTCAGTGGTAGTGTCCTGCTGCCCCTGTGGGCTCCTGGGCTTCATTTTGTGAAAGCTGAGAGATGCATAATGTATGTCTTCCTCTGTGGAGGAGGGGGCTGCATCAGCTGTGGAAGGCAGGGGTTCAGAGCTGTCATTCACCTGGAGTTCCACTAGGGGACTCTGTGTAAAGAGAGGAAGGTAGTCAGGTAGGACAGCAGGGACCCCTGGAGCCCCTCACCCGCTCCTCCACGTCTACTTTTAATCTTAAATTGCATGCATGTGTGTAGGTGTATGCATATATAGCGCAATGCCTGCAGAGGCCAGAAGAAGGCATCTGGTTCTGTGGAGATGGAGTAAGTAGGAAGCTGTGAGCTTCCCAGCGTGGGTGCTGGAAACTGAACTCAGCTTTCCTGGGAGAGCAACACACTCTCTTAACCACCGAGCCATCTCTCCAACCTCTCATGTGCATTTTCATTGGAATCACCTTTGTTCCTACTTTCTCCAAACATTTAATACTTTTTGCCCAGTCTCCCTAAGTCTACCAGCAAGATGTTATTTTTGTCTCTGTTATATATATATGATGGAAAAAGCAACTTATACCAAGCAATTCATCCAGACCTGGGAAAGCTGGTGCATAGTTGCCATTTTAGACTCACTACAAATTCAAGACCAGCCTGGGTTTCACAGTAAGTTCCAGGTCAGTCTAGGCTATCATAAAGAGAAAGCCAAACCAAAATCCCAGTCAAAACCATAATCTAGTGATTATGGGTTTTTTTTTGAAACCATGTTTTTCACCCATACCCTGTTCCCAGAAATTATGACTCTGAGTCCGAACACATACACACATATGTGCATACATACATACATACATACATATATACACACACACATATATTTACAAAAGCCTAGGCCAATATAGCTAGGCATGTTCCCTAACTTGCTCATAACTATTTATTATGATTCTCATAACCATTTATTCCATTCTAAGTTCTGCCACATGGCTGGTTACCTTTGCTACGGTTTCATGCGTCTGTCCTCAGTGTTCCAGAATGAATCCCCATGCACCTCACTCTATCCCAACATTCACTCTCTCTACTGGACCTCTTCCCTCCTATTTCTGGCCTCAGCTTTAGGCCAATCAGCTGCTTATTGATGGGTGAAGAATCCATACAGTACAGCAGAGATTATACCTACAATTCAGTTCTTTTGACCCTAATAACCAGGGACACATGTGAGATTCTTAGATGGTTGTTGGATATTCCAAGGTGGAATGGATATGCTAGACATAGGACCATGGCTTTTTTTTTCTTGATATGTGTATTAAATCTGTGTGGTGTGCATACACATGTGAATACAGAGCCAAGAAGTCTGTACCAGATGTCTTCCTTTCTGGTGCTCAGTTTATTTTTAAGACAGGATTGCTCACTAAGCTGGAGTTCACCATTTTGCCCAGGTCCAGATGTCTCTGCTAGCACTATTGTTGAGGGTCTGCGCCACTGTGCCTGGTGTTACATGGGTGCTGCTGAGCAAACTCAACTCCTCATGCTTGCAAGCATTTACCCACTGAGCTACCTCCTCAGCCCCAGCCTTGTGTACGTCATTCATTTACTGAGGATGCTCATAGTAGCATCTATTTGAGCATTCCACATGGTGCTTCTGTAGTCCCAGCACTGGGGAAGGACCCGCACATGGCAGGAGGACCCCTGTGAGCTCCAGTCTGGACTACGCCATGGTTATTGAGTCTGACAGGAATATATAGCAAGACACTTCTCAAAGCAAATGAGTCAACAGATGCATAATTGTGACTTATGATACAGGCAAGAAGGGGTAAGTGACAAGGTGCAGTGCCTCAGTTCAGGCATGGTGCCGCCTTCCAGAAGCTCACAGTATAGTAGAGCAGGGTAAGAAACAGCCAGTCAGAGAAGTGATAGCTGATGGGAAGAATAAGGCCCCTTAAGAAGCTCATACACTGAACATCTAGGACCTGTAAACATGTAATGTGCCTCACAGGTGGTACTGAGCGAAAACCAGATTAAATGAAAGGTATAGGAGCATGCCCTCAATACGCATACACTAGGAGAAAGGAAAGAAAGGACGGTGCTTTTCATTCATATGACCCAAGTTGTACCTAGCTATACCCAAGTTTAAGCATGCCTACATTTAATGTTTTGAAATTTATTTTATTTTTACTTATGTGTATGTGTGTATATCTGTGTGTGGGTGTGTGAACAGGTGAGAGAAATGCCCATAAAGTCCAAAAGATGGTGGTTGGCTCCTATGGAGCTATAGTAACAGGCAGATGGGAACTGCCTGATGTGAGTGCTGAAACTGAACTAGAGTCTTCTGCAGGTACAGAGAACATTTTAACCTCTGAGCTATCTCACATACCTTTAAATGCACCCAGAATACTAATAGTAGCCTACATTAGGGCAAAATCATTGGACACAAAGTCAATTTTATAATAAAGTGTTGAATAGCTTGATCAATGTATTGAATAGCCAGTATATATAGAAGGAAGGAAAGAAGGAAGGAAGGAAGGAAGGAAGGAAGGAAGGAAGGAAGGAAAGGAAGAAAGGAAGGAAAGAAGGAAGGAAGGAAGAAAGGAAGAAAGGAAGGAAGGAAGGAAGGAAGGAAGGAAGGAAGGAAGGGAAGGAAGGAAGGAAGGAAGAAAGGAAGAGGGAAACCAGGAGCCACACACCTCATAGCCTGGAGGCTGGAGTTGGGGCTGTGGCATGTGGCTACTGCCCAGAATCACAGCAGAGTGTTGGGCCACATGTTACTAGTTCTAGTAAACAGCCCAAACTCAAACTTAGAAGTAAGCTTTCCACAGAATGGGTATTGCTTTGGTGTGATGTTAAAGCTTAAAACTTGTAAGCTGGGCAGACAAGATGGCTCAGGAGTTAAAGGTGCTTGCTGACAAGCCTAATGACCTGAGTTCAATTCCTGGGATCTCCAAGGTGGAAGAAGAGAACCAACTCCTGAACGCTGTCTTCTGATTGCACATCCTGACATATGCATGCACAAACAAACAAACATAAATAAATAAACAAATAAATAAATAAAATCTTAAAAATAAAACTCACAAATCTAAAAATGCATAACTGGAAACACTGTAAGGCTGAAGCATTTGTATCCAAACCCTTGACTCTTGTCAAACAATTAGCAAAACAACACACTCAGTGTTGGAGAGATGGCTCAGAGAACACACTGGTCTGACAGAGGACCAGAGCTCGGTTCCCAGCGTGCACATTGCCTGCAACCCCAGCTCCAGGCATCTAACTCCCTCTGTTGTCCTTCATGAGTACTGCACTCAAGTGTGGGTTTTCACACAAGTGGTTAAACAGTTTGCCCTCCTCCTTTTCTGCCCCAAACTGTTTCCTGCAGTGTCTTCACTGGCCTTCTCCTGATGTCTGCTCTTCATTCTTCTTCTCCTGTCATGTGAACCCTGCCCTCAGCTCCCACACACTCCCTTCATCTCTGCCTCATGAGCTATCCATCGGCCAGCCCAGACTCTCTGCTTCCTAATGCCTCTGGATCTGCCCTTCCCTTACATCTGCCTGATGCAACCACAGGCACCAACAGAGGTAACAGACTGTTCCTCATAGTGATCCGTTTGCTCAGAAGTGAGTTACACACTCAAGTTCTCCAAACTTGCTTCCTGTGGTGGCCTACACTTCCCCTGTCTCTCCACACAGTCCTCAAGGCTGCTCTTCCACTTGCTGGGTGCCTCCTGCTTCTGAGAATTGGTGACGGCTCCTCCCTCTACCTGGAATAATCAAGTGGCAGGATCCAGTCTCTTTCATCACTAACCAAAACCACATTCAACCTACAGAAACTGTTTAGAAGCTCTATATCAGAGGAGGGACTAAGAGCCAGAGCAGATAAAGAACACCTGTAATTCCTCAACAACAAACAACCCAACTAGAAAAACAGACAAAATTGGAAGAGAGACCCCTCCAGAAAGATATACAGAGAAGAGATATTCACTATTATTATTTTTAAAATGCAAATTGAGACAACAAAGAAATAATACCTCACATTCACTAGGATATCTACTACAAAAATAATACAAAAGAAAACAGAAAATAATCAAGTTGACAGATTCTCAAAAAATGAAAAATGCGGTCTGGGGAGATGGCTCAGTAGTTAAGAGCACTGGCTGCTTTTCCAGAGGACCCGAGTGCAGTTCCCAGCACCCACATGGCAGCTCACAACTGTCTGTAACTCCACAATCCAACACATAGATATACATGCAGACAAAAAACAATGCACATAAAATTTTTTTAAAAAAGAATGAAAAGTAGAACTATATGACCCAATAATGCAGGTATATATCTAAAATAATTGAAAACGCAATCTCGATCTTTCACATTTATGAATGTGCACATCACAACAGTAAAAAGATAGAAGAAACTCAGAAGCTGGCTAAAGAAGCTGTGCTACGTACAGTGGAATCAACCTTCTAAAAAGGCGAGAAATCTTGTAGTATGCTACGACAAGGATCCTGGGGGCATATTAAATGAAGTAAACCGGCCACATGAGCACAAATAGAGTGTGGTCTCACATAGGAGGTTATCTGCAGAAGTCAGATTCACATACACAGAGAGCAGAATGGTGGATGCCAGGGGTGCTGGGGAGGGAAGCCTGGGGAGGAATGGGAACAGCTCTTCATATGGAGTTTTAGTTGTTCAAGACAAAGAAGTCCCAGGCAGCTGTTACGCAAGTGTGACAAATGGTGAATTTTATGATACACGGGACTACCAAAATCTAGAGCACAGATTACATAGATGATACATAGATAGATAGATAGATAGATAGATAGATAGATAGATAGATAGACAGACAGATATATATATATAGATGGTAGAGGATAGATAGATGATAGATAGTAGATAGATAATAGAGATATAGAGATAGACAGAGAATAGATAACTATGATGGATTAGACAGATGGACAGACAGACAGATAGATAGTTAACCAACCAACCAACCAACCAACCAACCAACCAACCAACCAACCACACAGCCTATCTTCCCAGCACTTCCTAGTCTTTGTACCTTCATTTTCTCCCAATAAACGTCTCTATCTTTTAATCATATATTGGTCTTTGTTGGTTGTTTGAGTGGTCTGATAAGCACCTTCCTCTGGAATAAAACATGACTGAGTCCAAGGTTCTCTAAAGATGGGTCCCTGGCACCTGGTCTGCTGGTGTCTTTGTAAGTACTTCACATTTCACAAATGGATGAAAGGAGAGGACCTGGGGCAACAGCTCAGTGCTTCCTGCGTAAGCATGAGGGCCAGTGTGTGAATCCCCAGAAATGGCATAAATACCAGTTGGGTGTGGTGGCCCATCTATAATTCTAACTTTAGAAGGCAGAGGTAGGGGATCCCTACAGCAAGCTGGCTAATGAAAATAGTGTATCAGTGATCTTAGGGGTTGGATTAAGTGGTTTTTCCTCAGTGACCAAGTGGAAGAGCCACTGAAGACAATCCCTAACATCAACGTCAAGCTTCCACGTGCATGTGCTTCTAAATGAGTGCACACTCTTACACACACAACACAACACACACACAGAGTATCAATGACCGATACTTTGGCACTATCTTAAATTTTGCATCTGAGGCAAGCTTCTCCCCTCACCATATGGGCTGAGGAGTTTGGGTTAAATCACCCTTTGGGTCAAATCTAGCCCACTGTTCATTTTTATAAATAAAGCTTTATGGACATGCAGCCATGCTCATCAGTTACATATGACCTATGATGGTTTTCAGGCTGGAGCAGCAAAGCTCAGCAGCTACAGAGTCAGCCCACCCTTCATAAGAAGTTCAGGAGGGCCAGGCATAGCGGTGCACACTTTTAATCCCAGCACTCAGGGAGGCAGAGGCAGGCGGATCTCTGAGTCTGAGGACAGCCTGGTCTACAAACCTGGACAGCTAGGGAGACACAGAGATACCCTGTCCTGAAAAACAAAGGAAGAAGTTCAGGAGGTATTACTGTATTCAGTGGGGTCCGGGAACAGATATTCAAATGCAGAGGAACTGAATAAAGCTAGTAACTCGTTCCTGGTAGCAGATAGCAGGCAGGGTAGCCCAAGGGCCAGAGGAGAGGAAGTGGGAAGAGGAAGAGGAAGAGGGACACACTGAAAGACACTGAGAGATACGAAGAGTTAGAAGATGGAAGAGAGAAGACAAAGAGGGAAGAGGAGGAGAGATACAAGGGAGAGGGAGACAGAAGAAGAGAGAGAGAAAGGGAGGAAAGGCAAGAAGAAGGGAAAGAGAAGGAGAGACAGAGAGACAGAAGGAGAATAGAGAGAGGGAAGAGGAAAAGAGAGAAACTGAGAGAGAGAAAACAGAAATGGGGATAAAGACAGGCTAATGGAGAAACAGGCTAATGGGGAAGTAAGAGGGAAGAGAGGAGGACACACACACACACACACACACAGAGAGAGAGAGAGAGAGAGACATGGAAGGAACCAAAAGGCAGAGAGGGTGCTGCATCTTGGTGTCCTGAAGAGGGAGACTGGACGAGAACCCATGAACTTGTGGTAGAAAAGAAGATAAGCTGAGTCATTTTCCCTTCCCTGCCTAGCCAGGGAGAAAGCAGTGTGGGCGTTGCATGTCATCACCCGGCTGGGAAATGGACTAGAGAGGTGTGCTTTCAGGACACCCAAATTGAATCACACTCAGCAGAACAAGCCAGGCTCCACCCCAGGGGAGGGGTGTCCAGGCAGGAGGATGCTGGTCACTCACCTGAGACACTGAGGCCTTGAGGGCATTTGGGCACGTAGCTCCTGTAGCTGGCCTGGCTAGTTTCCTCCTGTAGGATCTTACCCTGGGTGTGAGGACACAGGCAGCCTCTCAGTATGGGCAGGAGGGGAAGCGGCTAGCAGAATCCCCCCTCCCCCGCTCTCTGCCTGCTTGCAACTAAGTCTCGGAAGGGTGGTAAAGATGGTGGGTGGTCCTGCCACAGAGGTTCCTGTGTTGAAAGGTGGCTCCCACCATCTGGGACAGTGGGACCTGAAGGTTGCCACACTCCCGAGTCCCCCACACTGACCACATGCCTGGACCACAGATCCCCCACTGATTCCTGGCTCCCCACCCTCCAGGTCTGGACTCAGGGTCAGGTGCCAGGCTTGTCCCTCACCCCGGGTCCTCCTTCCCCACTGAGGCTGAAACTCACGCCAAAATGATGATGAAGAAAGACAGGAAAAGGAGGGTGGTGGCCCCTGTACCCGCAAAGAACCCCGTCATCATTTCGGATAGAGTTGCACGGCCTGCAGATAGAGAACTCTAAGAAAGCGCCCCTCCTCTCCTACCCACCCTGGCCCCATGAAGGAATCTTGGCTTCCAGCTTTTCTCACCTCTAGCTCAGATATCCAGATCAGAGGCCTTCTGGGATAGATGGAAGGACCAGAGAGGGCAGAGGGGACATGAAAAAGCTTGGCAGCAGTTTGTCTTGATTTAGTTTGGTATCTTCTTCAGCATAGAATTATTTTGCATTTTAACTAGACCATTAAATGTAGCTCAGCATGTGTTAGGACCTAACCCCAGATTCATAAACAGGCAAAGGAATATTTCATCACAGCCAGATGTCATGGAGAATGTCTGTTATTCCAGCTACCTCTGAGGCCAAAGTGGGATAAAGACGAGGCCTGGGGATATAGGTCAACTGTTGAGTGCCTGCCTAGAATTCCCCAGTAAGGGGCTGGAGCATGGACCACCACACAGGTTTGACTACTGAGTAGTTTCACATTTGTTATTACACTGTTTTGGTTCAGTTTTCCCTTGAATTTTATGCCCTTGTTAAATGGCCCTTTCTCCCGGCCCCGCAGAGGCAAAGACCTTATGCTCAAAGCTAACCCAGCTAAGTCCCAGCCCCTCTACTCAGGATTCGCTGCTTCCTGAAGTAACCTCCTCCCCAGCCCCTTCCACCTTCCCCTTCTTCGCAGCAGGAATAAGATAATGAGGCTCTGGTTGGCCAGAAAGTTACAGGCTTCAGGCTTCGCAGCTGAGCTCAACCTGAAGCTAAGCCCCTGTGAAGCTAAGGCAACATGGCAAGGACAGGGCAGGTGCCGAGCTTCTCCTGCTGCCTGCCTCCGGCCCACAAGTCACTCACTCTGTGGAAACAGGCTCAGGGAAACGTGTTGGGAGCCCAGAGCATGCTGAGCCTGGCAGGTGTACACTCCTCCATGTTTAAGCTGCACTGGACTGAGCTCCAGGAGCCCAGGCTTGGACAGCTTTGAGGGGCACAGACTCAGGTTATCCCAGGACCAGCTTAGGTTCGCAGGGGGATGGCTGTCAGTGCTACAGAAGAGACGTAGAGACTGGCCCTCAGAGACGAAAAGAGATGAGCCATTCTCCAGGATTGTGGATTCTGTAGAGAAAGAGAGAGTCAGTGTGATGAGATTAAGAGAAGGGACATTAGACTCCAGAAAGGGGGGTTGACACACAATAGGGAGCAAAGGCTAGAAAAACATGGGCTTTCACCTATCACCACAGCAAGAATCTGAACTTGTCTTATTCTACTGTGAACTGCTTGACCACAAGCCTCAACAATTAGAGAGAACATGTGACTCAGGCATATATTTGGAGTTGATGATGAGAGAAAGTCAGACCGAGATGGGGAGGGGAAGAGGGAGAGAGGCTAGCAAGGATGACCTTGGACTTCTGACTGTCTTGTCTCCACCTCCTGAGTGCAGGTATGCACCACCCACCCAGCTTATGGGATCCTGGAGATCAAACCCAAGGCTCTGGACATGCTGGGCAAGTATTCTATTAATTGAGCCACATTCCCTGACTTTAGAAGTCTGTCGCTCAGACACACACGCTGTGGCCATAGATCCAAGACCTATTGACTGTTCATTGATGGTGGCAGTGTGAACTCCATGCTTTTGCTGCCTATTGGTACTGGAAACCCACAGAATTAGATCCATCTGTTCTGGGCGCTGCAGTCATGGAGACCAAAGACTATCTCTGCTACGGGTTCCTCTCAGAACCTCAGGTGGACAAGCTCAGGCTCAGCCCGACATATGTGGCCAGGACACTGGTCACTGGTAGGTTGGAGACCGAGCTTCTGAGAACAGACATGGTTAGACAGTTCTCTGTCTAACAAGAACTCAGAGCACAGCTATGGGACAATGCAGGCAGATCCATAAGTGGGGAGAAGGTTCTGAGTGGTGTGGCTCTGATGTGTGCAGGTCACCCTTGCCTATGATAGTCAAGAGGCATTGCCCATCCGGGAAAGTGAGGGGTGGATACTGACTGTTGAAAACTCTTACGAGTTTCAGACCGGATGATCCAGTGGTTCCCCAACAAGGAGCCTCTGTCTCCAGGGTGAGTCCAGTGTGAAGAAGAACAAGCCTACCCTGAGCTGAAGAGGTGTGACAGTCCCCACCTAGGATGGCTCCTACCTTGGTCAGCTCCTTGATAGCCAGTCACAGTCAGATTCTTTGGAGCATCTAAGAGAGAATGACACAGTGGACTCAGCAACCACCCTCTGTCCCCAGCAGCTGTCTAGGTGGGTATGGCAGGAGCCCATCATCCTGACAATCCCCCTAATGAGGATTTTAGGATCCAGTGTGCAGACCCTGGCCCCCCCGGGGGACCACTTTACATTAGGAAAACAGACATCTGAGCCCAGCCTCACATGACACGTTGAGACGGATGGTCATTCTTGTGCTTGCACCAGTTCCAGGCAGGGTCACCTGACAAGTGAGGTTGGTGCCATGGTCCTGAGGCTGGGGGATGATGGTCAGCACCGAGGAGGTGTTGGAGCTCAAGAGGGACCCAGAGGTACCAGTCCAGGAGAAGTTGATAGGTGCCGTCCACTCACAATCCCAAGGCACAGAGCATGTCAGGTTGCTGGGACGGCCAGCCTCAAGGGTCTCCGGGATAAGGATGTGGGGAGTGTTAGTAAGGGCTGGTGAGAAAAGGGGAGAAATGGAGCATCAGGAGGGGGTGAGGTGCATCTTCAGGGCCAGCCCTGGCTCTGATCCAGTTCCAACCCTGAGCCCTGATGCTCAGACCCAGCTGCTCCCAGGACAGAATCCTATCCCAGACCTGTGGTTCCCACGATGTTCCCCAACTGCTTCTTTACAGACCATGTCTGACCTGTCACACGCAGAGTCATCATGTCATTGGTATAACTATACTTCAGTTTTTTACTCTCCATGCGAAAGTAGTATGACCCCTCATCCTCCTTCCTGATCTCTCTGATGTCCAGGGAGCAGTTGTTCCACGGGTCTCCGAGCAGGAGGAATCGGCCTTGGGTCTTTGGCAGTGGTGACTTCTTTGGATTATCTGTGGCCACTGGGGAATCCTTTATCTTGGTTCCTTCCTGGAACCAATATCGACGAATTGGTGGGCCTGAGTAAGTCCAATGCTCCTTGCTCCCTGGGTAGGAGAAACTACAGGGTACAAGGACACACAGGCCCTCCTGCACCACAATTTCCCTCTGCACCGTCAGGGTGTAATCCTCGTTGGTCCCAGGCCCACCCTCCATCCCCGTTATTCCCCAAAGCAGCAGCAGCAACAGCAGCAGCATGTCCAGCTGAAGCTGCAGGGCCACCAGAAAAAGTCTGTTTCTCTGGGCTCTTCTTTGAGGAACTAAGAAGTGCAAGGCCTGGAGGAGGCCCCAGCGGAAGCAAGGGTGAGGCCAGGGCAGAGGCTGCTTCAGGAGGAGGAGCTTTAGACCCAGGCAATGTCAGGGCCCTCGACCCTTGGACTCCTGAGGCCAAAGAGGGCAACTGCCTCTCCCAAATCTACCCATGCAGGGCCTAAACCCATCTCTCCCCTGTCTGTACTAACATTGGCCTCCAAGTGACATTTTTGCCCAGTGAAAATGGGTTCACTGCATCGAGAGCCCCCAGAGCTTCCTCTGAGACTGATGATATTGGTGGATTTGGGGTGTGGTGGTTCTAGGGCATAGGGGAGAAGAGGGACAGGGAGTGAAGACTGGGAAACACCCAGCTTCCCTCTCCCTCCCTTGGCAGCTTGTCCTGAGGACACCCTCTCTGCACAGTGGCCCAGGCCTTGTTCCCAGAGCACCACTGTCCAGTTGGGACAGGGATTTCAGGTCCTTGGAGCATCTCAGAGCCAGAGCCTCAGGGGACATGGCACAGACTCAGTGGGTAGTTCCTATGGAAGGGTAGAAGTGACATTTTTTCCTATTAAAATACAGCTAGGGAGCTGGAGACATAGCTAGCATGGGAGAGGGCTTGCTTGACCTGCACAAAAGTCTAGGTTCCATCTCCAGCACCACATAGTGGTAGTATGTGTCTGCAATCTCAGCTCTTAGGAATAGGAGGTAGGAAGGTCAGAAGCCCAAGCTCAACCTTGTCTAGCTACTTAATGAGTTTCAGCCCAGCCTTGGCTCCAGAGGACTCAGTTTCAAAGCATACAAACCAAAACAAACACAGCAAAAGCAAAAATTCACCAAGGTAACAGAGGGAACTCTCATTCTCAGGAGACCTGGGGAGATGGAGACAGAGGTGCTGCACAGTGAGACTTGACAGAGAACATTGTCAAATCCAGTGTAGCCAATCTGGCAGGAGAGGAGATCTTTTAGAGAGTTGCTTGTACTCTCCATTTGGCAATCGGACTTTTGGGGACAAAGGTCCCAAAGAATTAATTCCCACAGGAATGCCATGCTGGAGTAAGGGAAAGGCAGATGACACGCACAGGATGAACTCACTGCCCCCTGGGGAGAATCCATAGTTTTGACAAAACTTATTGGAACACCTTGACACAAGGATCGTGTCAATGATGGGAGGTATCATGCACGAACCAGGACTGCAGTGTGATTTATTTTGTATGCCTTGCCCTTTAAAGGATTCCCAGTTGACCTTCTGACCCTCAGTGTCAGCTGCTTCTTGGAAACAGGAGGGGAGTTTTTAAAGCCAGAAGGGGCTAAGAGAGATTGAGTAGGATTGGAGTAGGGTCAGAGAAGAGCAGGGCCAGAGAGGACAGGTAGCACAGGAAGTAAAAAAGATTGAATAGGACTAGAGAAGAGAAGAAAAGAGGTTGAGCAGAGTGAAAATAGGAGACAGTTGAAAAGTGAATTGGTCTAGCAAAGAGTTGGTAACAGTTGAGCCAGCATTCACATCATCATCTAAACATAGGAACCTATGTTCCTATGTGTGTGTGTCGGAGGACTACATTTGTGTGGAGGAATTCACCTGCATGTGGAGTTCAGAAGACAACCTCGCTGACCTGGAGCTTCTCAGGTAGTCTAGTTTGTCTAGCCAGAAGCTTCAAAAGCAGGCTACTTGGCTAGCCAGGAAAACTCAGTGCTTTTCCTGTCTTTGGCACCACACCTGTATTGTTGTGAATGTTTTGGTTCATGATATGTAAATATGTCGCTGTTAAAATTCCAAGTTGGGGATTTTAGTTTGCCCACACCTGTTAAGTGTCTCATGCAGAGCGTGGTCTTTGCCAGGCAGAATTAGTCGAATTCTGAGGACTTTAAGGGGGATAATATGACAGCCCAGAGGAAGAAGGCACAGCTGCTTGGAGGAGGACTGCCTGCTGCTGGTTAATCCTGCTGACTAACTGGTACCTGGACTTCTGGACAACTGATATTGGTATCGCCCCCAACAGAATCCTACGACCCTACTCAGCAGGAAGTAGCAGAGAGAACTCTGCCCCCTGCCCCGTCCCCACTAACCTTTCCCTTCTACCCAGTGTTGGAAGGGAGGTAGAAGTGTTTAATAGCCCTAAGTAAAAGTGGGTTTGTTAAAAAGTCAAGGCCAACGCTGGATTTTAAAATGGGTTCTTCAGATCAGGCTCGGGTCTTTATGCTTGCATGGCAAGCACTTCACCAAGTGGGCCATCTCCCCAGGCTGCCTGGAGCTGCTTTGACCAGAGGTTCCGAGGCCCCAACAGCTCAACTCCCATGCCTACTCATAGATCCATGGGTCTTCTGCCTGAGAAATTCTTGGCCCTCTAAGGGAAGTGGTTTATGTGGGTGAGTGATTGAGGTCACCCATCCAACTCAAGCAAAGGTCACTATCTCAAGTATAACTACCTGAAAGAGTCCAGAGAAAAACTGCAGCAGGAATGATACAACTGCAGCTGTCTTAATTAGGGTTTCATTGCTGTGAAGAGACAACATGACCACTTAACTCTTACAAAGGGAAACATTTAATTGAGGCTGGCTTACAATTTCACAGGTTTAGTCCATTATCACCATAATGGGAAGCATGGTAGCATTCAGGCAGACATGGTGCTGGAGAAGGAGCTGATAGTTCTACGTCTTGATCCACAGGCAGCAGAAGAGGACTTGAGAGTCATAGTTGGGCATAGCTTGACCATAGGAGACCTCAAACCCACCCCCATAGTGACGCACTTCCTCCAGCAAGGCCACACCTCCTAATAGGGCCACTCCCTGTGGGCCAAGCATTCAAATACAGTTTATGGGGAGCAGACTTATTCAGAGCACCTTGCTGATTTAAATCCGTTAAGACAACAGATAAATTTTGATGCTCAGCAAAAGAGGAACAAAGTATTAGCCCACAGGAATCATGACTAATAGAGTAAGGTAAGAAGAGGATTTGCTTTTCCAGGTAATTTTTTTACATACAGTCCTGAAGAGATTACATTTAAATTTTTATTGCTTGATTGAGACAAGGCCTCCCATAATGCAGGCAGACCTCAAACTTACTGTGTAGCCACAGATGACCTTGAACTCCAGATCTTCCTGCTTCCATATCCCAAATACTCAGTACAGGTCTGTATCAACAAATGTGGTGTATGCAGTGCTGGGAATTAAACCCATAGCCAAGTGCTCTATCAATTGAAGTATATGCTCAGCTCCCATGCATGATATTTTTTTGAAAAGTAATAGTGCCACAGGAAACACAGTGTCTGAGACAGAAATGTGATAGTTTCTACTTAAGTGACAGTGGTGAACAGAAGTCAATTGTCCCTCCTTTGGTGTGATGGCTAGGCGAGGTTGTCGACCTGTAACACATATGTGGTGGTTTGAATGAAAATGGTCCCATTGGCTTTTAGGGACTGACACTATTGGGAAGTGAGGCCTTTTTGGAATAGGTATGGCATTGTTGGAGAAAATGTGACACTGGGTGGGCTTTGAGATTTCAGAAGCTCAAGCCAGGCCTAGTGTTTCTCATTCCCTGCTGCCTGCAGATCTGATATAGGACTCTCAGCTGCCTCTCCAACACCCTTTCTGCTTGTGTGTCACCATGCTTCCCACCATGCTGAAAATGGACTAAACCTCTGGACTGTAAACCATCCCCAATTAAATGTTTTCCTTTATGAGAGTTGCTGTGGTCATGGTGTCTCTTCATTAGCAACAGAAACCCTAACTACGACAACATAGGAAGAAGGAAACTCCGTTGAGAAATTGTCTGAATTAGATTGGCCTTTGTGGATCTTCTTGGTTATTGACTGGTGTGGGAGGACTCAGCTCCTGGAATGGTGCCACTCCTGGGAAGGTGGTCCTCCTAGGATAAGGAAAGACGTTAAATGTGAGCCTGAAATTAAGTAAGTATGTAGAGTTCCTCCATGCTTTCTGCTTCAAGCTCCTGACTCTTTGTGATGATGGCTAAAATAAATTCAAGTTAATATTGGTCAGTGTTTTATCACAGCAACAGGAAAGGAAACTAGAATATGAAGCCATAAACTCAACAAGAAAAGCAGGACTTGAATTCCTTTCTTTCTTTCCTTGCTCCCAGATACCCAGAACAACTAAGCATTAAGTATGCCAACTTGTGAGCTCTCCTTTGAATCCCTAATCTTCCAGAGCTCTTATTGTCTTCTCCCTGAGCCTCAGACATGGAAGTTTTCCATTTTACACAACCACACTCATTCCAGAAAGCAGCCTGCCTTGGCACTTGTGCTTGGTCACACATTCCCTCAGGGCTGTGGAGGGGACCAACCAGATTTCTTGACTTTCTACAGTGTGGAAAAGTCTCTCCTTCCCTTACTTACCTGGAGCCAATTTGTCTGGGATGCTGAAGAGGGGGTTGGCACACAAGGAGCATGGGACAACAGGGACAGGCCAGACAACTGGGCTGGCTCTGTCTATGGTGCTGAAGCATCACCCCATAGTCTCTGTCAGCGGTTCTCAACTTCTGGATGGTGTGACCCCTTTGAGGTCTAACAACCCTTTCACAGAGGTTGCATAAGACCATCAGAAAACACAGGCATTTACACTGTGATTTGTCACAGCAGCAAAATGACAGTCATGAAGTAGCATCAAAAATAATTTTACAGCTGGGGGTCATCACAACATGAGGAACTGTATTAAAGGGCTGCAGCGTTAGGAAGGTGGAGGACCACTGCTCTAGGTTCATCTAACAGCCTGCTGAACCCAGCCTAGTAGCTCAGGGCTGTAGTTCTAGCTACTATGAGGATCGAGGCAGAAGGACTGTATGTTTGAGGTCTGCATTGACCACATAGTGAGACCTTGTTTAAAAATAAAAAGCGTAAGAAGGGGAGCATGCTGGGTTTATAACTCAGTAGGAGAGTGCTTGTCTAGTATCCAACAGTGAGGAGCATGGCTCAGTGTTAAGACAACTGCCTCGAATCTCCCCAGTGCGGTTCTGGGAGCATAGCTCAGTGATAGAGCACCCACTTAGAATCCCCGAGGGAGGGGCTAGTGGGCTAGAGTGGGCTCAATGGTACAGTCACTGCCTAGAGTTCCCTGGTGAGTGGCTGGAGTGTGTTTCGGTGGTGGAGAGCCGTCTCTACCTGGAGAATGAGGCTCAATGCAGTGCTTTCTGTTTTAAGTGCATAAACAGCAGACCTCAGAAAGACAATGGGGCACCAGATCAGACACGTGACAAACATCCAGCAGACACAGCCTGGGGAGGCCAGGGAACCGGGACAGTCAGCAGGAACATCTGGCTGAAGAAGAGGGTCACAGGCAGACTGTCTCCCAGCCAGCTGTTCCCACCACAGACACTTCTAGTTTTGTTCATATGGGATGGGAAGTAGCAGAGGTATCTGTGGACGGTTCACATCCCACCTGTGTCCAAGGACACACTAGACTTCTAAGAATTTACTCTCCTGTTCTCAAGGCTATGTGCCTGTTTTCCCTCAATTTCTCACAGGGCTAGGAGGCTAACAGGTGGTCTTGGACCCTTTAAGACAAAAATGCTTGAGTCAAAAGTCAGTCTGGGGCACCAGACCTCCAGAGCCAGGTTCCCAGCCACCTAAAACAGTACAAGACGACAATTTAACAATTTACAATAGTTGTGTGGCTGTGTGTCATCCTGGACTCCTTTCACCTTGCTGAAGAAAGAAACAGAAAGAAAGAAAAAGAAAAAGAGAAAGAAAGATAGAAACAAAGAAAAAGAAAGAATGAATGAAAAAAATGAAAGAAAGGAGGGAGGGAGGGCGGTAGAAAGGAGTAAGATGGCACAAGCCTTTTATTTTAGCAGTCTGGAGGCAGAAGCAGGCAGGTCTCTGAGTTCTCTTGAGTTCAAGGTCAGTCTGGTCTATCTAGCGAGTTCCTCCAGAACCAGGCTACACGGTAAGATTATGTTTTAAAGGGGGAAAAAAAAATCAGAAGCGTATAATAATCCGCCAAACCAGGAAATTCGACAGCAGCCTCTCTGCCTCTGCCCGTCTCATCTCTCTCTTTCCCTCTCCCCCACCCCGCACCTCTTTTTCGACACAGGGAATTAAAGGCCTGAGCCACTACAACCGGCCTATAGCAGCCACTTCTGATTTCAAGAAACCCTCCTGGTAACCTCGCGTTGCCAGGGCCACACTAGCACCCTCACCTCAGTCCCTACACCGGACTGTGAGCCTCACAGAGCCCTGAGTTTGAGGAGCCAGCGGCAGAAGAAAAACCTACCCTCAAACAGTGTTGGGAATTGGAGTCCAAGCTGCTAAAGCGTTACAGGCGCGTCGCTAGAGCTGTTGCATTCTGGGAATTGTAGGCAAGGCAGTCCAAGACCTTGTGGGAGTTGTAGTCTCAAGGGCGGCTTCCGCGCCAGGCTTCCGCGCCAGGCTTCCGCGTGGTAAGATTGCCATTCCACCCAGGTTAGTGTTCCTCTTGCCCCGGGTCGGGCGGACTTGGGGTTGTGGTGGCACGCTCAGAGAGCTGAAAGGCTCTCTAGGGATTTGGCTCTCGCTTTTGTTTTCGTGTTCTGGCTCGGATGCCTTTCTAGTCCTATCTCTTGCCAGGCCCCTCTGTTCCCCTGGTGGTGACAGGTCATCTGCCTTGTCTTGCCCCCAGTTAAATATGTTTTGGAGACCCCTCTTCTGCCCTTTAGGAAAGTCAGCCACACGGAAGTACCCCTGGAACTCTCTTCGTTGATCAGGCTAGCCTGGAACTTGCAGAAATTCAGCTGCCTCTGCCTCCTGAGTGCTGGGATTAAAGGCGTGCGCCACCACGCCTACTATTACAGGGGTTTGCTGCCTGTCTGTACACAGTTCTTTCCCCATCGTCTCAGATAGTTGCAGTTAGCATCAGCCAGGTTCACTCCATCAGCTAGGGACCACTGATGTGATCTCCTGGCTTTCTGTTTCTGCCTGTGCCCAAAAGCTACTCCTCACAACAGCAACCCCCTTACAGGATTAGATGGCTGAGGACAGAGAGTGACTTTACACCCCACTCTGCATAAACGCTGAGTAGAAGGCGGTGGCCACTCTCAGGGGATAAATAAGCCAGGCAGAAGAGACAGATTTCGTTGGCACTCGGGGGTCTGAAAGGTCCCCTGGGAGGATACTTAATGGGCCATTTGGAGGTCGAGCCTGGAGGCACCTCTGAGGCTGATGATTTTCAGGTTTGCTGGGCAGGGTTTGAGGAGTGGTGAAGCCCTGGGAGAACCAGTCCAAGAGGAAGGATAGACCCAAGAGCTGGGGAGTAAATGTTTCAAGGGACATTGTTCAGCCACGAGGGATAAGTGAGTCCTAAGGGCTGCTTGTTGGGCTCAGTGATCAGCAAGAACTCTCTGGGCCAAAGGAAAGGGGTCCCTGGATACTTGGGGGGAGGAGCCACAGGGCCTCACAGGCTGTCAGTCACAGAAAGGTCAGTGGGCTGGATCTGTAGTGAGTGTAAAAGGGGAGGTCAAAGCAGAGAGACCAGTGACCCACACAGGCATGCTGTGTTGGTGTTCTGAGGACAAGTAAAGAGGGCCACTCCAGAATGTAATCAGGCTCTGAGGCAGCCGAGATGGCCAGCCTCGATGAACTCAACATTAGGGCTCTTTTTATTTAGCATTTACTTTAGGTTGTGACTCCTGTAGGGCAATTGCTTTGGGGCAGCAGAAAAAAAAAAAAAAAAAAAAAAAAAAACTTAAAAAAAAAAATATATATATCCTTTAAAATGAAAAAAAGTTTTGTTTTTTTAAAATTTAGTTAGCATTGCTAACTAAATAGTATGTGAGGCTTTTTTTTGTTTTGTTTTGTTTTTACACAAAAGTTTTTTTGGGGGGGGGTAAAACAAGTTTCTCATACCAAAGCCCCTTATCTAATCTGTACGTTTTATAAATGAAAACATCAGGCCCCTGCAGCTTTAGTCTTTATTGTACACTGCTTACAGGACCCAATAATGAGGGATGTTCCAGGTGTGCCAGGACCATCATGCGAGCAAAGTCATGCAAAGGCTGTAACACATCTTCAGAAAAACAACTCTATCGATAATAGAAGACAACTATTCATTCTGATGTCTACCCTAGCTACAGTGATTCTCCTAGTGCTGGCCAGGGAGTAGTTGTGAAAGTGTCTGGCCTCTGGGTCTGTTCTGAAGCCCCAGAAGGTTCGGCTGTACTCATTTAGGGGTTCTGAGCAGCACGGAGTAGGGTGGATTAGGGACATTTGAAGGACAGGTCAAGACTGGACTTTGCGTTTTGAGCTCCCTACAAGTGAGTGATCAGGGCGACCCTTGACACCATGGCTAGTCTGAGCGCCCGGGAGGGCAGAGCTTCGCTTCGCTGCAGAATACCATTTGGTAAAAGGAATCAGGCATGTGGGGGGTTGAGAGGCTGGGTGGAGGAATGAATGACGCTGGTCTTGTCCCCGTGGAAGTTCCTGGCAGTAAACCTCGGTTGCCACATAATTGCGGCACATCCCAGGAGCAGCCTGACTTTCTGGGAATGGCAAGGGGCTACTGCATAGTCCAAGCTGGAAAAGAGGTGGGGGGTGGGGAGAGGACTGGGCCCGGAGTTTGGCAGCTTCTGTGTGTCTGAAGGAGGGCACCATGGGATTATGCAATTAGGACCTCATGGGTGTGTGTGGGGTTGTCCCAGTATCTTACTTCCTCTATTAAAATCCAAATATCTGTAGCCCTCTGCTTCTGAGCAGCAGACGCTTCCGGGTTCTGGTCAGCCCCGGAAGTGGAGGTCAGTGGCACCTAACCTGTTTTATGATCAAGGATATACCAAGAGTATCCTCAAAAATAGGCGACGGCACTCCAGTTCCTAAAACAGACACAATTCCATCCTGTCTGTCCCTTGCATGTCTTCCTCTCTGTCCCCCTGAAGCTCCATCATCAGGTTCTTGCTTTCTTGGTTCAGGAAGAAACTGCCCTTCCCGAGGTCTCCCCTGTGTAAGGGTAGGACACCATCTTCACAGCCGCCCCCCCCCCCCCCCGCAAGCATAGATTATCCGTGTGACCCGCTTCTGTCTCCCCTCAGCTCTGAAGTGTGCACATCCTGGGTGATCAGTTTCCTTTCTGGAGATCTCGTGCGACCTCCTCCCCCGCCCGTCCCTTCTCTCCCATCAGCGCTGCCGTGTAGACGCCCTAAACGACTCCCTTCTGTCTACCCCACAGCGTACACATCCCAAGCCACCCACTTCTCTTCCTGTGATGCCCGCCCCGACGTGCTCCTCCTGCCACACGGCCCGAGCCGCCCTCCGCCGCCCGCGCTCCGGGCAGGCGCTGTGCGGCTCCTGCTTCTGCGGGGCCTTTGAGGCGGAGGTGCTGCACACGGTGCTGGCAGGGCGCCTGCTGCCGCGGGGCGCCGTGGTGGCCGTGGGCGCCTCCGGCGGCAAGGACTCCACGGTGCTGGCTCACGTGCTGCGCGAGCTGACGCCGCGCCTGGGCATCACGCTGCACCTGGTGGCCGTGGACGAGGGCATCGGCGGCTACCGCGACGCGGCGCTGGAGGCCGTGCGCAGCCAGGCGGCGCGCTGGGACCTGCCGCTCACCATCGTGGCCTACGCAGATCTCTTCGGGGGCTGGACGATGGATGCTGTGGCCCGCAGCACCGCGGGCTCCGGCCGCAGCCGCTCCTGCTGCACCTTCTGCGGCGTGCTGCGGCGGCGTGCGCTGGAGGAGGGCGCTCGCCTCGTGGGAGCTACGCACATCGTGACAGGTGAGCGCAGTTGTGCAAGGGTAGCGTGCAAAGACGTGCAAGTGAGCGGGGAGGCGGGGTAGGTCCGCCGCCCCTCTCCTCTTTTAGGGTCCCAAGGATTTCCACGGACCTTCCTTTCCTCTCGGGGTTCCGGGTGTTCCAACGCCCCCTCCACTCTTCTGGTCCCGGTGTCTCTGGTTCTTTCTCCATTCTCTCTTTAGGGAGGATTTACAGGGTCCTCTCCTCACCCTCCGGGTCCAGGGGTTCCCGGCCTTTCTCTCCACTTTCCCTGTCCAGTTCTCTGCACCCCACTCCCTGTGTAAAGGTCAAGCCTGTGGGCTCCTGGATGGCCTCAACCCAGTCTGGCCGCGGTGTGCTGCAGCTCTTAAGGGAAAGATACCCTGGCAGCCAGGAGCTGAGGAATACCATGAAGTCACACCACACAACAGATTTCACACAGGACATTTATCGAGAGCGACACAAGCCTCTGTTCCAGCGAGAAGGAACAGCGAACTGAGTAGGGAACAGGCTTTTGTAGAGTTTGGGGGGAGGAGTTTCTCAGTGGCGAAATGTCAGGCCAGGCCGGATGGGTGGGGTTTCAGGATCAGGGATTGGAGGATTTCGGGAAGGTTTCAAACTGGGAAGGGGGCTCAGACCTTTCATCCCCTCCTCTCTTCTTCGTCCCCGTCCCTTACCCACAGGCCACAACGCTGACGACATGGCGGAGACGGTGCTCATGAACTTCCTGCGTGGTGACGCCGGGCGGCTGGCCCGGGGTGGAGTGCTGGGCTCCACGGGCGAGGGGTGCGCCCTGCCCCGGTGCCGGCCTCTGCAGTTCGCCTCGCAGAAGGAGGTGGTGCTTTACGCGCACTTCCGCCGCCTGCGCTACTTCTCCGAGGAGTGTGTGTACGCCCCGGAGGCCTTCCGAGGTCACGCCCGCGACCTGCTCAAGCGCCTGGAGGCGGCCCGGCCCTCGGCTGTGCTGGACCTCGTGCACTCCGCCGAGCGCCTCGCTCTGGCCCCCGCTGCACGGCCTCCTCCTCCAGGCACCTGCTCCCGCTGCGGGGCGCTGGCCAGCCACACGCTCTGCCAGGCCTGTGCGCTCCTGGACGGCCTCAACCGAGGCCTGCCGCGCCTGGCCATCGGCAAGGGCCGCCGTGTGCTGCAAGCCGAGCCGCCAGCAGCGGGCAACCCGGGTCGGGCCACCAGTAACCCTGGAGCCCCACCGAAACCCTGCTCCTGCAAGCAACCCACAGACGAAGCCGGCCTGTGCGGGGGTGGAGAGGACCGGCCAGGAGCCACCTGTGTCTTACAGAGTGACCTGAGCGCCGCTGCGGAGTGACCTGAGCCCTGTGCTCTACCTTGCCCCGCGCCCTGGGAAGTGATTGTGCCCTGCAGTGCCCCGCGCCCTGGAGGGACTTGTGCACCGTGAAGTGACTGCTCTTCGGTGCCCTGAGCTTCCGGAGCGACCTGTGTCCTGTTGGACCTGCGCTCTGCCGGCTGCCCTGCTTCCCTGTGGAGTGGCTGCACCCTGTAGATTTACTGTCCAGTGCCCTGCAACCTGAGCCCTGTGAAGTGTCCACCCGGTGAAGGGACATGCGCTGTCCAGCAGCCTGAACCTTGAAGTTGAGGGAGCCCCAGGCTACCAGGTCTGAGGGAGAACAGACCAACAATCGTGCATTCCTTGCACCTCTGTGGGGTCTCTGTGGGCTTAGGATAGCCCTGGCCCTCAGTTTTGTTTCCCCAAGGGAGGCAAACAAAGTCACGTGAGTATTAGAAACATATTCACAATCATCACTTTGCCCCTTTCATCAAGACTTAGCTCTTGCTCCTAAGGGAATCAGAGAACGTTTATTCTGAACCAGATGGGAGCATCCATGGCTGGGTGCATGAATTGAGGTTGCCGCAGAAGCAGTTACACAAATATTTACAGCCCTAAAACAATAAAAAGTCATTAATCAAGACATGGGCCAAATACGCTGGGCGGACCTCAGACGGGCTCCAGCAAGGCTGGGGAAATTCCTTCTGTGAGTCTCACACTAGCCGATGACCTTCTTAGCCTGTCATCTGCTGAGTTCACACATTCCAAACCAAATTTCTGTGGTTTTCACGCGGTTGTTGGGTCACTCTCCTGGCCTTCCGTTTTTGCTTTTATTTTGTCAGCGTGACACAGGTTGGGATCGTCTGGGAAAATGGCCTGTAGGCAAGCCTGTGTGGCATTTTCTCAATTGATGGTTGATGTGGAAGGCCCAGCCCACTGTGAGCAGTTCAGTCCCTGGGCAGGTGGTCCTGGGCTGCAGGCTGGGCAAGCCGGGCAGCAGTGTTCTCCATGGCCTCTGCCTTAGACCCTGCTCTGTAATGGAGTGTGACCTGAGAGATGTAAGTTGAAATAAAACCTTTCCTCCCCACAGTGTTTTTGGTCATGGTGTTTTATCGAAGCAACAGCAATCTGAAAGTCAGCATGCAAGTCTTCAATACACTTTTGCTTTCCAGTGGCCTTCATTTGAACCTTGGCTTTGGGGTGCCTATAGACACCTTCTCATTTGTTCCACAGCAACCTCATGGCTGTACATGGCTATGGAAGGGACCACAGGGGCTGTCACAGGCAGCAAAGGTGCCTGTCTTGCTTACTCCTGATACCTCTTGTGGGTGAGGTGGGCACCCCAAGCTTGGACTCTGGACACAGAACTGGCACTGAGTCCCTGCCTTTGTTTCTCTAAGCTCACATTTCCTCTCTGAGCTACATCCCCAGTTTTAAATAGACTAGGAGGAGGGAGGAAGAGGGCAGTGAAGGAAAGGCCTGTGGAGAGGTGCCTTTTGAGCAGGGACCCACATAAACCAAGTATCTTGGGGGAAGAGGGCCCTCTGGAGGACGGAACTGCCAATTCAGCGCTAAGGTATGGGAATAAGCTTGACCCTGGAAGGGACAGGCAGCAGGGGGTTCCGTTAGCCACACAGGCAGGGCTGGACCAGATGTGTGGAGTCGAAGACTTGGATTTTATTCTAACAGTGAAGGCCAGTCTCCCGAGGGCCCCTATTCTGTGAGTCAATCCAACGACTGCTTCCTAAAAAATCTCTTGACTGCTGTAAAGAGAAGTAGCTGTGGACAGGGAGGGGGGAACTGAAGACCCTCTGGACCAATTGTACAGCTCCACGCTTTTTGATTGTGAGGCTGGCCCCATGCCAAGAGGGCATTCCTCCCTGCTTGGTGCAGTAATAGGAGAGTAATGGGTGCTTAATACTCATTTATGGTAGATGAACGTGCAGCCCAGTGAAGTGACTTGCCTAGAGTCACATAACAGTGATTCGGGATGGGAGTAGGGGCCCTAGGATCTTATGCTGGAAGCCAGAGGACACACTTCCTAAGGCATGCCCAGCAGGGTGCTTCTCATTTCCGGAGCTTCGCTGGGCACCTACCCTCCTCCTGGGCCTCTGGTGCGAGAGCAGGGCTGTATTCGCCTTTGGCCACAAGAGGGCGCTGTGACCACATCAACGCACCAGGTGGCCTTGACTCCACAGCTGGGTCTCCAGCCCAGGCCCAGACCGCACCGACCTCCAAATCTAAAGATCCCTGGACCTGGAGGAGTTTGCGGGAAGATGCTGTGTCCGTGCCTTGCACAGACTCTGAGCATGAGACCCGTGACGCAGCTAGCTAACTGCAGTAGCCACTCAGGATAGAAGCTAAGGCCCGGAGAGGGAGGAGAAAAGGGCCGGGGGATAGACGAAGGCCAGGGAGGGGAGAGAGAGAAGAAATGAAAAGAGGGAGAAGGAAGGGGCACACAGCGCAGTGTACGGCAGCAGTTAGATGCTGGTAAGTGTTGGTGGGATTCTGTCCTGTCCGTTTAAGCAGAGAAAGTGTGGCCTCAGAGACACAGCCCTACCCCAGCACAGGGAGGAAGTGTTTCTGGAAGAGGGAATGGCTAGCCTGAACTCTGACACTGGGGCACAGGACAGAGGCGAGAGTGTGAGGGGCAGGTGTTGAGCTGCAGAAGCAAGCCGAAGCTTTCCCAGCAGGGAAAGATAAGGATCGCGATTGCAGAGTTTCCTAACATCTCCCAGGGGCTGGCCCAGCCTGTGAGAGTGCGGAAATGACTGAGTCAGCTCTGGTCCCTGCCCTCAGTGGGCTCTCCCTCTGGTGGGGGAAGCAGGTGCTGGCAAGTCAGGACCAGAGGGTTACATGCCGCTGGTGCCGGTGTGAGAGTTCAGAAGGACACCATGGGAAGCCTAGAGGTGGGGCGCCCAGCTCAGTGTGGTGTGTCATAGAATGCCGAGGTGATGTTTAAACCAAGACCCAGGAGCTGAGTAAGACTGAGGCCAGGAAAGGGGTGAGAGGGGAAAATGGTGCCTGGTAGAATGGTGGTGGGCCTGAGTGGAGAGGCCCTGTCCCTGTGGGAAGCTCGGTTCCTGGCCCAGGAGGCAGAATGCTGCCCTAGGTGGGGACAGGGCCTGCCAGGGACCACTCAAAGCAGTCAGGGCTCTGTGGGCAGAGTGCTTCTCATGCGGGAAGCCCTGGTCTCCAGTGCCAGCGCTGTGTAACTTGGGTGTGGTGGTGACACAGCCCTAATCCCAGCACCGGGGAAGTAGAGGCAGAAGGATCGTGAGTTAATGATCATCCTCAGCTACAACGTAAGGTGGAGGCCGGCCTGGCTACACGGGACCCTGTTCCCCACGCTGCTGCCCCACACACATAGGTTGAGGGTCCTGAACTAGAGGGAGGGGAGGACATGGCGACCGTGAGAGCAGGTTCAAGGGCATGAAGAACCTCTCACTGACAGTGAGTGTCTTCAAAGCTTGAAGGAACTCCTGTGTGAGTTCAAAGACCATACAGATAGGGGCTGGAGAGGTCGCTCATCCACCGAAAGCATGTGCGGCTCTTGCGGAGGACCTGAGTTCTGTTCTAAATGCCTCTGCTGGGTGGGTGGCTGACATCTTGTACCTGCCGCTCCAGGAGGGCTGACACCCTCTTCTAGCCCCTGAAGGCACCATATTCACTGCACGCACACACACAACTTAAAATAAGTAAATCTTAAAAAATGTATATATATAAGTACAAGAGGTGCCCCCCCCCCCCCATAAGCAGACCAAACAGATTTTCCACTCAGGTGGCCTCAGCAAATACTGGAAGTCTTTGAGAAGACAAAGGCTTGTTGAGGTATTTCTAAGGAAGCCCATGGCTTCTGGAAACACAATTGTTCATTGAAACATGAACGACCCGGTATTTTCTTTTTTAACGTGCTAGGTCTTCCTAAGTCCAGTTTCCATACCCTGAGAGGAGAAACAGCATCTCCTGGCAGGGACGTCACTAGATGATAGGCTTATTCCACAGGTTTTCTTCCCTTAGCTGAAATAAATTTCAGGTTTGAAGAGAGAGAAATGATGGGTGCAGAAGCCTTGGAGTTAGGTTTGAAGATAATGTCACTCTTTCAGTCTGCTCCCATATAATACCATCACATACACCAGGCACCAGATTAGGTCCTGGAGATTCACTGCGACCAGGTAGAAAAGGTCCTGGCCCTCATGGATTCTCTGGGAGACATTCCTTCTTTCCATGAGGTTTCTGGTGGAGAGGGCACAGGGTTGAGTGGCTGAAAATTTTTCCTCACCAGAATAGACACTCAAAAGTTGTTGGAGACAGACTTGTATTCTGAATAAGAAAGTAAATAAAACACAAGGGACATTCAATGGCAATAAATGCTCATACACAAGTGTGTAAGAGAGAGAGAACAATAAAAGCAGAGACAGGAAGAGAATGCTCCGTGCGGAAAAGGCGATGGCAAGCATGGAGAGAGGGAACAGCAACGACAATGCCCTTGAGCTAGGAAGGTAGCAACCGTGCTGAAGACATCAAAGCAGCACGGGGGTCTGAGGCAGAAGACATGATGGAGAGGTGAGGTTGGAAGGGTGAAGGACGTCTGGAGGCTGACTGCCTAGGGGCGCTCAGAATTCATTATCATTCTATCAGGGACTTAGATGGTTTTTAGGCAGCTTTTGACAATGTGCTGTTTTGAGTTTTAAGACCATAGATGCTACATGGTCTTTGCATGGGGGAGGCGGGAGGAGCCCGAGTGGGTGTAGAAAGCAGAGAGACCAGTCTGTGTGCTGCTCAGCCCATGCCAGGGAGAGAGAATGGAGGCTGGATTGAGAGCGGCTGAGGCCAAAGTGGAAGGCAGGAATGTGGGTGGGAGTGTGGGCAAGGGTTGGAGATGACCTGAGCAGCTGAGGAGACAAACAGAGTCTGGGTTCTGGTGGACCATGGAGCTTCAACAGAAATACGTGGGTGATAGTACGAGATGCAGGAAGTAGAGGCGGGTCCACAGCCATCAAGGATGTCTGGTGTGAGTGGGCATTAGCAGGTAGGGATGCTGACTTAGAAACATCTAGAGATGGGGCTGGAGAGTGTCCTTGCAGGAACATGGACACCAATTCCCAGTCATTCCCAGTACGTTCCATCTCACCTGAATGTGTGTGGTCCTGAAGATGAGCTGGGTGAGGTCTCTCAGAAAACAAAACAATACAAAACAAAACAAAAAAACCAGCCAAGCCACTACACAGCCATGTCCGCCACTTCCTGCCACCTGAGCCACAACCCACATGGAGACTCGCCCTTCCCTCTTCCTCCTGTGGACAATGGGACAGGCGTCCTTCCTCTTGTCTGGGGCTAATCTCACCACTTAGCCAGCTGTACCGTCCACTTGAATATTTCCCAACTGCAGTTGGGAAGAACCCTTCATCTAGGTTCAGATCACCATGTGGCTACATAGCTTTGTGCAAGCCTGGGCAAGGGAGCTGACTTCATCTTCACTTCCTTGTCTCGTACAATGAAAGGTCAGAGTGACACTGGGATGCTTCAGTTCTCACGCAGGTAGGGGAAAGATCCCAAGGGCTGATTTGCTCAACCTGCATGAAATCGTATTGGTCACATATGCAGATGCACTGACGAAGTTGGCTGTTGCCCCAGAAGACAGAAGAAAGATTCAGGACAGTTATGGGTTGTATACTGCTTCCTTCCCTTCTCTGCTAGGCAGACATGGCACATCTCAATCAGCCCCAGTTTCCCAATCTGTCATCCAGACATGAGATAGTGTCTACAGACTTTCCATAACACAAACACACCCCTTTGGTTTCCATTATGTCTCAAACATAATGTCTCTGTGCTCGTACATCTGCCAGACCCTTCTACCCCAAAGCTGTTGGGGGGTGATCTTATGAACCATATTTGGATGCTGATTTCTGTGCCCCAAGATCTGGTTGCAGTCTGGACAATGGCATTGTCATTTCTATGAAGAATCTCCTGTCTCAGGGTTGTGTAAAAACTGTTCTCCATCATCTCTGATTGGTTAATAAAGATGCTGATCAGCCAATAGCTGGGCAGTGAGAACAGGAGGTAAGGCTTCTGTTTCCAGCCAGGGG